TGAACCGGAACCGGATTTGGACAATACATTATACCAATCTAATGAATCTTGTTCTATTGGCAATAAACTGACAGGAACTGTCCCAATTACCTGAGAGACATAACTGCGGCGGCGAGGGAGACACCGGAGATGGAATTGAAATTGGGGAGATGAGAAAGAACGAAATGGACCGACGCGAAGATCATAATGAAATAAGTAAGCTTGATGGATTTGCAGTTTTCACAGACCAAATCATGGAACTTCTTGAGAGATTTGCCACCAGTGACCATGTAGACGATGCACACTCCGACTTCCACGATGAGCTGTTGCGGCACAACGATGTACAGACCGAGCTTTTCGCCGAACGCGTATTGACCGAGCTCGTGGTAACGGTCGAACCTCTTCCCTGGAACCATCTCGTGCATTTCCACCATTTGCCAAAGTGTGTACAGTGTTATTACCCATGACAGGACCAGTACTACCACACCTGGTCCCCTGGACATTTACAAAGGAAAATAGTTATGTTTGGTTATATTGCTTGTTAACCGACGAGTTCGGTTTGATCCGGTCCTGTAACTTTTTTTTTTGTTTCTTTTTTCAAGACAAACATTCAACCTCATGTTTAACTATAACGGAGTGTTGGTTTAAACTAGAACGGAGTGTTGGGGTTGACAGGGGTATAAATTGAAAGATTAATAAATAGGGGGTGAAATTGAGAAAATGAAAAAATTACCAGCCGAGCTCAGCCATGGCATAGGGGAGGCCGAGGACACCAGCACCGACCATGGCGGTGACATTGTGAAAAGCAGAGTACCACCATTTCGCGTTTCTCGACGATGTGATCGGCAGCCAATCATCGATCTCTTTCTGTCTCGCTAGCTTTTCGTCAATCTTGTTATTCGTCGATCACAAAAGCAAAAATTAGCAGAATTCTATGTCAAAATAGAAACAGTAAGGGTTGAAATAGAAACTATAATAAGTTTTGGGGCATTATAAGAATAAAGTAGAACTTCAGGCGTAGTTTTGTAGAATCTCTAAACTTTTGGGTAGGTTTCGGAGTTCCTATATCTTAGGAAAAGTCATGACTTAACAGGGGCCCAGCCCAGATCGTTAGATCCGGCCACACAGTGTATATCGATCCGGCGATCCCTTTACCAATTTTTATTTCATGAAAATAAAAATACCGAAATATGTATATATTTTTTTCCAAACCATTCATTGGTAGAAAAACAATTCAAACCTTTAGACAAGTCGCTACTCACGAGTCAATGTCTTACAAAAAAACGTTACGTTTTGTCAATTCATATCAGAATATATATGTAACATATAAATAGAAAATAGTGTTTGATAAGAAATTTCATCTACTAATATTCAGTAGACGTGCACCTCACAAACATTATAGATATACGTACTAATTTCAGACATCTAATTAAAAGTCTAGTATTTTAAATATCAAACATTCATAAATATAAATAGATTTCGATGTTTTTCATTGAATTTACGACGAAAATAAACCACAACTTGCACCCGAAAATAATGATTCGAACCTTTTTTCTGCATAAAAGTTTATGGATGAAACTAAATACAACTACAACGGAAAAAAAACCTAGTGTATAAACAGTAGCGGTTTTTAGAGAGAGAAGAGATTAGAGGGAGAGAGAGAGACTAACATTTCTGTGGTATGAATCTTCAGGAGGAGCTTGAGTTCCCATGGCGGCACAGAGAGATATAGAGAGGAAAGGCGAGAGGAGGAGAGAGAGACGTACAATTCTTTCACGACTTGGATATATATATATACACACATGCGTGTGATGTGTATGTACAGTGAATGTGAATGTTTAAGGAGAGAGAGAGAGAGAGAGTTCAAAAGGGAAGCTTTTTGTTTGACTTGGCAAAGTATTTTTAATTAGAGATGATGAGGGCAAAGGGTTTATGAGCTGGAATTTTCCGAATATTCAACCCACCATTACTATACCTTCATCCTTCCAAAAATGACTGTTTTTTTTTTTAATCTCGAAACCAATCTTCAATTTAATCCCATAATATCCTAGCTAATTCATCATTATATATATATATATATATGTATGTATATAGGCATGATGGTCCTCCTCTCATCTCTAGACCTTTAGGGTTCATTCCTATTTCCATATATGGGCCATGTTGTGATTAATATAGCTACCCTTGGCTTGATGATTCATTCTAAACATAGTTAAAGGGTGTGTGCATGTATATATAATACCCCAAATATATGAATAATAAATGCTATTGGTGTTTCGCTCTCTCTACCATTTCTTAGCTGCAAACGCTGGAAAATGCGTCTGCGATCCCTCTAGAACGAAGCGTTTTGCCAACGCAAACGTGTTCTATCCAAACAGTCCCTTTACTGATATTTAGGCGCAATTTCCTCTCCATTTCGTTTACTTTCTATTTTTTTTTTTTAAATCTTGTATTATCGTTGATCTTGGCGACGGATACCATATGCTTACGCTTCAGTTTTTTTTTTTATAATTTATTATTGATGAGAACTGAAAATATTGATATCTGTACACGCATGCATGCAAACACAGATGCTTATATGTATTCGTTCCTTTCAGAAACAACGCGAATATGGAGATCCGAAATCAATAGTTGAGATTATTCAAATTTAAAAATATATATATATATATGAAGTGCTTGGAAAATCTTCAAATTATCTAACAAATAGAATAACTAAATAACCAGTTGCTGTATATACGAAAGATATTTCAAAATTGTTTGTAAATACATATATATTTTTTTGGGTAACCGGGTTTCCTGGGCCGAGGCCCAAACTAATTCCGGGGTCGGAAGCTAGCCATGTGGTTTGAATTATGCGCTCTCTCCCCAGCCTGAGATTCGAACTCGGGATGGAACAAACGCTTTGCGTCCCGTTTAATCGGTTGAACTACCAGATTGGGTTTAAATACATATATTATTCACCGTGATGGGTAACTAATTGATGTAAACATTTTATGTACATGTTTGTGGGATTCACGCAACTTGGTACAGTATATCGATGGAGCAATGATTAATTTATAGAATTCATTTAAGACATTTTCTGCCGAATTAATTAAAATACAATTTCTTAATATTCGATCATACGCACCCAATGTCCATCTTACATGTATAACCTTATTGCCACACACACACACACACACACATATATATATATATATATTAACTGAAGGAGCTCATGTATTTTTTTTATTCACTTACAAGGTTCATTTTTCCCAAAACCTCATGTTTATTTTTTTTTTTCTGCCATTTTGCTTTAAATAACAAATTTGAATACGTCCTATATTGGATTATAATTTATAATGAAAAGGAAAGGGAAGGTTCGTGGAAATGCCAAATGACAAATGGAACGAGGAAGACTCGGAGAAATTGTCGGTCAATGAAGAATCGTTTCACTTCACGGCTCATTAATTTTAATATTTATTTGTAATCGTATTATATTTTTGTGTCTAGCAGTCAAGTGGGTTATCCCCCATTAATGAATTAAATTTTATAGGTCTTTTTTTGGCCATTCTTACACATATATATGTGTAAACATTGCATAATTATTTGATACCTACAATATTATTGATTGATTATTTAAGGACATCATCTATTGTTAGGGGCTCAACTAAAATAATTGTGCTTGCTAATAACTATAATTGTTGATATTCCACAATGTGTTATTTATTATATTGTTTGCTTCTCTAGCTGTTCATTTATAAAAAAAAATAATGAATTCACAGATGATTAGTATCATAAATATAGTTTAAATTTGATTAAAAACAGATAAATTAATAAATTATAGTTTTTTTCAAGTTTTCTGATCGGATTACTATGTTAAAATTAAAGATCACATACACACACACACAATATATATGTGTGTATATATATATATATAAGTTTTTTTTCCCGGAAAAGGGCAAAGAAAAAACTTAGATTCTCTGCATCACTTTGACACTGAAACTTCGTTGAATTTCATTATATAAGTAAACACGATCAACTTTAACCAAAAAAAAAAAAGAAGTAAACACGATCAAATAAAGAATGAAATATATATGTTGTTTGTGTGCATTGGAGAAATGAATAATACACGCGTTCACCCTGCAAACAAGGGTTGGGTTGTAGGTCAACTTTTAGGATATGGAAAACAAAAATATAAAAAATACTCATTCATTTATATTTGTTGAAAATAAAATAAAAAATAAAAAAATATTAAAAGTGTGTAGCTTTTACGCCATTTTCTCTTATTTTTTTAATGATATTTGATAAGTTTATTTGTCTGCTTTTCCAAAAAAAAAAAAGTTTATTTGGCTGCGAATCAAAAATTGAAGTTAAATGTTCCTTGGGTGTGTCGGGTGGATTGAATACCTAAAATCCAATTTGAATAATCAGTATTTTAATTATATCGAATTTTAAGTAAAATCAGATTAAATCCAAAATTTGAAATTTTAATTGAAATTTTAATTTTGCAATTAATTATCTTGTTTTAAAAATAAGTATTTTTATATGGAAATTGGACGTAATATGAATTGATACCAAAATGCGATACAGTTTAAAATAAAATATATATGTTTTTTTAATAATATGAATTCAAAATTATATTTTTTCATTAGAAATCCCAATAAATTGCAGCATGATAAGATATTAAAAAGGGGAATGTGAAATAATTAAAATCAAAATTGGACAGCGAAACATTTGACATTTCAATAACGTGCTTAGGTCACCGTGCGACTTTCTGATTCTATTACTTGGCCACTCTAATAATAATAATAATAATAATAATCATCATAATAATAATAACAATAACAATAACAATAATATTAGCAGTAGTAGTAGTAGCAGTAGCAATAATAATAATAATAATAATAATAATAATAATAATCATAATAATAATAATAATAATAATAATAATAATAATAATAATAATAATAATAATAATAATAATAATAATAATAATAATAATAATAATAATAATAATAATAATAATAATAATAATAATAATAATAATAATAATAATAATAATAATAATAATAATAATAATAATAATAATAATAATAATAATAATAATAATAATAATAAGTTACGCCCACTCATATGTAGCAAATTTAAATTTTGAGTTGAGTATATTCTGTGATATGTTTATTGAATCAAATTTTATTATTGTATGTATATTTGTATGCCGGCGTATATACAATGGAAGTGTTGTAAAAAAAAATTAGATTTCCTTTGACAAGGTTGTAAGTAGATGAGTTTGGGACCGATTGTTTTTTAGTTTGAATTTTTTGTTTTTAAATGTTTATTCAGTTCGAATTTTGTTGGGATTCGATTCAGAAAAGATTTGTTATAAAAATATCTATTTTTTAAAATATGGTTTTGCTCATTTTTTATATTTATTCATATGGTGTGGTTGCTGTTCTTGTTGTTGTTATGTTTATTTAAATTTAATTTATTTTTTATTTTTATAAAATTATCAGGCTCGGATCAGCATCATGCGGCTTCAATGTTTATATTATGGGCCCAAAACCAGCATCATCTATCATTAATTTGGGCCGAAAGTTAAAGTTTAACTTTTAACTTTCGGCCCATGTGAGGCTTGTTCAAAGCCACTTCCCGTCTCTCTCTCTAGAATCATCTCATTCATAAACCCTAGCAAACCCCATTTCTCTCTCTCTCACGTTTTCGTCTTGTTCCAACCTCCAAGGCATCGAGAAGCGAAATGGGAAGCCAACAAGCAGCGGTTTCGTTCCTATCGAACCTCGCCAAGGCGGCGTTCGGGCTCGGCACGGCGGCAACCGTGGTGAACGCGTCGCTGTTCACGGTCGATGGTGGCGAGAGGGCGGTGCTCTTCGACCGGTTCAGGGGAGTATTGGATCAGACGGTGGGTGAAGGCACTCATTTCCTGGTCCCGTGGCTTCAGAGACCGTTCATCTTCGACATCCGTACGAGGCCTCACACTTTCTCATCCGTCTCCGGTACCAAGGATCTCCAGATGGTTCATCTCACCCTTCGTGTTCTCTCTCGCCCTGAGGTAGATCAAATCCTGCTTCTTTTCAAGTTTTTGTTGTCGAATTTGCCTTGGTTTCTCTAGATCGTGTTTGATTCCGTTGATGATGTCCGATGAGATTTCAAATGTTTCGGGTGTTGTTGGTGACGATGTTTCTATTTTAGGGTTCAGGGTTTTGGGTGTTCCGATTTCATGGATCACTGTTTTATCTGAGTAAGAATTCGGACTAAAAGAGGTGGAATTGTTTTTTTACTCGATTGCTGCATAGATTAAACTGCTCCTATTTAAGATTATATATAACCTCGGAGATTATAGTTTACATATGATTTGGGACTCCGATATGCTTCCGCAGTGTTCGACAAACTGGCTGGCAAATCTGCTTTTCCATCTGCAATCTACATTTTATCAATTCATTATGTTATATACCCTGGATGCTTGTGAGAACGACCCTTGGATCAAGGAACGTGGAATCGTTTTTACTCCAGAGCTGAATGTTTCAGAAAGAAAACCTTATAAGCTACTCCCTGACTTTCTACTATGATCAAAGTATACACTACAGATTGATTAGTTTCTCTTGAAGCATAATGTATGCCTGCAACATGTTGTGCCGCATTTTCATGTTTTTTCTGGCATTTATACTTTGGAGATTTATGGGTTCATGTGTTTATTATATGGTGATTAAATGTTGAAGGAATCGCGTCTGCCGTACATTTTTCAAACCTTGGGCCTGGAGTACGATGAGAAGGTTCTTCCCTCGATAGGTAACGAGGTCTTGAAGGCAGTGGTGGCTCAGTTCAACGCTGACCAGCTCCTCACGGAGCGTCCCCAGGTCTCAGCGCTTGTCCGGGAGTCCTTGATCAGAAGGGCCAAGGACTTCAACATCGTGCTGGATGATGTAGCAATCACACACTTGTCGTATGGTGTGGAGTTCTCGAGGGCAGTAGAGCAGAAGCAGGTGGCGCAACAGGAGGCTGAAAGGTCGAAGTTTGTGGTGATGAAGGCTGATCAGGAGAGGAGGGCTGCTGTTATAAGAGCAGAGGGTGAGAGTGAGGCTGCTCAGTTGATCTCTGATGCAACGGCGAAGGCAGGTATGGGACTGATCGAGCTCAGGAGGATCGAGGCTTCGAGGGAGATTGCTGCTACACTTGCTAGGTCTCCCAACGTGGCTTACCTTCCCGGTGGACAAAGCATGCTCTTTGCCTTGAACCCTTCTACCCGTTGAGGGAAATTTGGTAAGTTCTTTCCATAACTCTCCTTGGAAATCTTGGTTGTTTTTGGGACTGAGGTCTTGATATTGATGTGTTGTCTGACAGATTGTGGTGTGTGTGTGCGTGTAACTGCAGGCGGAGTATGGCAAGACATGGCATGATCTTTTATGTCTGTGAATCTTCTTAAATCATAAATGAGGTTTTATGGCTTCTGTTTCTGATGAACTCTTTTGTGAAAAGAAATTTCTGCGGTGTTCCTGACTCTTTGCAGAATTATTCTTACCCTTGAAACGACTCTCTCTATCTCTCCCCCCCCCCCCTCACAGTTGCGTGTACGCGTGACTGATTCAATCTGGAAATGTGCGAATTTTTCTATTATATATATATATGTTCTCTGTGTAGGTATTTCATTCAATTCATGTGATTTTGAATGTGAGCCCACAATTTGCATGTGTGTGTATATATATATATATATATAATAAAAGTGGCACTTGGAATCCATATGGGTATTCTTCCTTTTTCGCCATCTTGATGTGATCATGTTGGTTCGCATGGTCATGGTCATGCCCCGAGTGTCCGAGAAAACGGCTCTGTTCTAACCGTTCACTGTTTGTAGGATTATATAATTTATCTATGCATAAAAAAAAAGCTGTAGATAGGTTTTGAGAAAGCAAATGTAATGTAATAAAGCCGAAGAGTAAAAATGTGATAAGATTATTCGTGTAGGCTAAGGAAAGCATGATGCTATTACGCATTGTTTATTTGGGTCAGAGAATAATGATAACAATGGCTTGATATTTGGAGAGGGTGAGGGAGGTCATCAGTTGAGGGAGGCGATGTGGCGGACCAAGTCGACGACACGGTTGCTGTAGCCCCACTCGTTGTCGTACCACGACACTATTTTCACGAAGTTGTCGTTCAGCGCTATTCCCGCCTTCGCGTCGAATATGCTCGACCTGTCCATCCATCACCCATCATGCCATGATTCATCATACGAAAACATGGTTTTTTTTTTTTTTTTTTTTTTAAATACAGCTCGATTATTCAGACGTTAAAACTATGGCTCATTGGGGTCGGCCGTACAATCAACACACGTACGTACCTGCTATCGCCGACAAAGTCGGAGGATACGACGTCGTCCTCCGTGTAGCCAAGAATTCCCTTCATACTCCCTTCAGATGCCTCTCTGCATCATCATCATCATATGTAGAAATCTCTGTTTGTACGGAATGGAAATATATAATCACACAAGAAGAAGAAGAAGAAGAAGGCGTCAGTGGTTATACATACTTGAGGGCGGATTTGATGGAGTCGTAGGAGGCATTCTTGGAGAGCCTAACGGTGAGATCGACGACGGAGACATCCACTGTCGGAACACGGAATGCCATTCCGGTCAGCTTCCCGTTGAGTTCGGGAAGAACCTTCCCTACGGCCTTGGCCGCTCCAGTGCTGCTCGGTATTATGTTAAAGCTCGCAGCCCTTCCCCCTCTCCAGTCCTTCATCGACGGCCCATCCACCGTCTTCTGCGTCGCTTTTTTTATTCATTCATAAAAGAAAAAAAAACAAACTTATTAGGTATTGGTTTTACTTCGTACCACTGCATGATACAAACTAGGAGTAAGTGTGTGATCACGGATATGTGATTTTCGGATTACTCAAATCCGAATTTGAATATCTTGGATTCGTTTTTGTTAGGTATCCAAATTCGAGGTTCAAATACGAAATTTAAAACTTTTTCTCAAAATATGTAGGATTTCGAGTAACTAACCGGTCATGGAGTGAACGGTGGTCATGAGACCCTCCACGATCCCAAACTTGTCGTTGATCACCTATCCATCCATACCCATCTCATATTTAGAATATATATACATGAACATGCCTGTATGTTCCTCCTCGATCGAAGAACAGAAACGTTGTCTGATCATTTGTGGATAAGAAAGAGTAAAAACAACGGGAGAGAGAGACCTTAGCCAAAGGAGCAAGACAGTTGGTGGTGCAGCTTGCGTTGGAGACGATATTGAGGTCGCTGGTGTATTCTTTCTCGTTCACACCCACCACAAACATTGGAGCGTCTTTGCTCGGTGCCGATATTATCACCTTCTTCGCTCCCCCCTTCAAAAACCACCCCACACCATTTTTCTTTGTAAATCCACCAAATCACAGTTTATATATGAAGGCTTTCTTGAAATGATATCTTTGAAAACTTTTCCATGTCAACAAACAGAACGGAGATGGCATGTTCTTAGATAAGGTTTCAGGCAGAAAATAGCTTTACAGAAAACCTTAATGTGAGCGGCAGCTTTGTCCTTATCGGTGAAAACTCCCGTGGATTCCACGACGAACTCAGCTCCAGCCTCACCCCATGGAATCTCCTCGGGATTCCTATCAATCATCCAACCAAACATTAGAACAGACACTTTATATTCAGATAAGAACATTGGTCTGAAGGAGCAAACAAAGCAAATATAAGGGCAAAGTTTCGGCATTACAAAACCTGGAACCAAAGACAGTAACAGGCTTTTCGCCAAACAGAAGGGTCTTGGAATCTTTCACCTTCACTTCATGGTGCTTCCAGTGACCATGAACACTGTCGTATTTGAACATATATGTCTACATGATACCCAGAAAGGAAAGAGTAAAGAGCAAATCAATGATCATAACCTCCAAATCTCGGACTTCTTTTCAACGTTTTGACCGAAATTAAAGTTAGAAGCTTGAAGGAATAACTAAAAGAATCCAATAAAATGTCTTCAGATCTTGCATACATTCATCATACACAAATACACGAAGCATTCTAGATTCTTGAATTCCATCATACTTGTACTGTTGTACACAAATCATTTGAAAACATTTCAGGAAAAAGGGTAAAGTTTTAAACTGGGTATACAAGAAATCTCTTGAATTATTGTTAGAAGAACTGGTTTGAATCTTGCATTCTGTAGGAGAAAACTTCCTTCTTTCATTACAAGTTGTAGAAATCCAGCATTTCCAATTTGTTTATTAGAAATCCTAACGTTTTCGCTCCAAACAAAGGATTAAAAACTCGAGCAAACCATGATCAATCTCTGAAGACTGATCGCAAACCCTAAGTCCCCAACCGATCAACCATAGGGATAAATATCCTTACAGAGCAAGCAAGATGTTAAGACAGAACATGGTACCATGTACTCGGTGGTGATGAACGGATCATTGACGGCGACAAGCTCCACATCGTCGCTCTGCAGAGCAACCCTCGCCACCAATCGACCAATTCTTCCAAATCCTTCGCGTAATTAGACCCAAAGCAGAACAATCACAAACATGGCCCGAGATCGAAATCTCCTAGAACAAACACATCGAGAAATGGCAAAGAATAAAAGACCGAAGAAACGTATTACCGTTGATTCCGATCTTGATTTTCGCCATTGTTGAAGCAGAGAAGAGAAAGCGAAACAAAAATGAGTGCAAACGAGCAGTGCGGCGAAAACGCTATGTCTATGAATATATAGACACACATATATGAACTGGGTCCCACTTGAGAAGCGGCTTAGAATGCGTGGGACCATTCATCTATACATGGTTCCGTTAGAGGAATCCTAGTTTTCAGGGTTAGCTTCTGTGTCCGTAATAATGGCCTATCAGCTAAAAGCTTCACTGCATAACTAAGCAACGGATCAAAAACAAGAGAGCAAAACAAAAAGGTGAGATGGGAGAGACAGTGTCCGCCCGGTGAATGTAACCCTAACCCTCGTCATGTCTGGTCCCTTTTGGGAGCGACATTATCAGAAACTGTCGTTTTGAGGAAAAAAACATAAAGCTTTCATCTTTTGACTTGAGAAATTTTCAAATACTCGACCTTTACGTGCTTCTCAATCATTTTGGATGAAATATGATATGGATCGTTCTTAATACTGCCTGGGTTTTTAGTGAATTGGAATCTCCGGACAAACTTGATGATCGATTCATGTGTTGTTTCCTTATCCTGAAAGTAATGCCACTCTTCCTTCTAACTCGCCCTTCTGTTTCTTTTTCACCGATGTTCATCCAAAATCTTTCATTTCTTTCCCAGAAATTTCTATCATGGATTGAACCAACACAGTAATAGTCCTTGAAATAGAAATAATATATATATGAGATTTCGATATCATACGCCTCAAAATTACGAACCAAGTCCTCTGGATTCACATACAAACACCAACCTCAACGGCAGTATTTATTCAGCTGGACCAAAGCTTTCTCACTTGTCCCCTGTGCCCATATACGGCTATACAAATATATATCTATATATAGATATGTGTGTGTGAATATGGATTTTAGAGTGTAGGAGGGATCCAGATGTAGCCATGGGTCTGAATGTAACCAGCTTTTGCAAGCAGCTCGTCGGCTTCTACGGGACCTCGGCTACCTGGTTTGTACGGAATCGGCTTCAACTCCCCGTCGTCGATTCTGTGAAGCAGCGGAGTAAATATCTCCCATGCGACCTGTCCGAAAATAATGTGAAAACCATATATTATGTAAAATCTGTCAAAGTTTTTCGAACTTTTCCTAAAACAAATCGACTTCGATTCCCAAACGATAATATTACCTTTAGTTCATCTCGGCGAACGAAATGCTGTTGGTCCCCTCGGATTCTGCAGAAAGAATGAATGGGACAGTTCAGAAATTACATATGATCGAAAGATACGATATTTATCGTAAACAAACAGCTTTTTTAGTATTGACCCGGATAAAAATGTGGAACGGTGAAAGGCCATCAAAAAAATATGGACAGTTAGGTGATATAGAATACTTACGTGTCGAGAATTAGACGCTCATATGCCTCGGGGATCGACATTCCCTGGTAACGTTGTCGGTATGAAAGGTCTAGTTCGCTCTGTACAGTTGACATCTCGAGACCCGGTTGCTTAACCTGCATATCAAATACATAACGATGATTAAAACGGTTAACGGCATATTTTGCAACGGTTAATGGTATAAAGAACTTACAGTCAGTTTCATGTACATGGCTTCGGAAGGCTGCAAGCGTATTACGAATTCGTTCCTTCCTTGCTTTTGACCTGTTCCGAACGAAAAAAAACTCTCGATAAACACAATCGAAAGCGTAATTTTCAAATCTAGAATGATGTGTTAGGGTAAAAAAAAGAAGAGTTTAAGACAACATTATTTGGGACATGAGGGAGTTACATTTGAATATGTCGCCGGGGACATCCTTGAACTGAACGCGTATCTCGGCCTTTCTCGAGTTCAATGCCTTTCCGGCCTTTACTATAAACGGAACACCTGAAAGGAAAAAAATTGTTCAGCAAATCAATTGGAAAGTAACAATGGAGAAAGAAACACACATGAAGAGGACACATTTTCTCTGTCAGCCAATGGATGATATGAAGTAACACATTCTATTAGTGATAAACATGAATATCGATATATTTGTAATTTTCTATATCTTGATCCGAACTCGTGTGTGTGTATATATATATATATATATCTGTATAATATTCGTTTTCTCTCTTAATTCTCCCAAATCACTTAAATAAATCAACAAAGATGTTTATATCTATGTTGTTATTCTATGAAAGGGTAAGAGTGGAATGGAATGGTCTACCTTCCCATCTTTCGTTATGAATGCGAAGGACCATCGTAGCAAAAGTCGGAGTGTTGGAGTCATCGGGGACGGTCGGGTCATCCTTATACCCTTCATACTGTCCAAGAACCACCTCTTCGTCTTTTATAGGGAGCACCGATTGAAGCACCTGAGAGGTTTGCTCAAGAATCAGCCGCATTCTATTTACTTGTTTAACGATGAAAAAAAAAGACATCGTTACATAAAATACGATCATAAGAATATGTCCCACCTTCACTTTCTCATCCCGGATGTGCTCGGGCTTAAGAGATATCGGTTTCTCCATGGCGACAAGGCAAAGAACCTGCAGCTAACTAAACTTTGTTCATATATATATATATGGATGCATTTTTCTAATGGAGTTGTATGATTCAAGAACGAAACAAACACGTTTTTTTAGGGAAAATCACGTTCTAGATTTCGAGAAATAAAATCTCTCTATGCGGCAACTACCTGGAGCAGATGGTTTTGAATAATATCACGGATGATTCTGAAATAAACGAACGTAAACATTTGATCAGAACCTCGAAGATATTCTCCGCTTCATCTACATCCCGAGGAAAGGCAAACCGAGAAAAAATATTCGGAAAGTAATACCCGTATTCATCGAAATATCCACCCCGCCCTTTGGTTCCGAAATCTTCCCTGAATACAATCTGCCCAAAGAGCATTTGAAAGTTACACGAATTCACCCCCTAAACAAATGGTTTGGAATTTTTTTAAACGTAAGCTTAGCATTTCTCACCTGCACGTTATCGATGTTGTCTCGGTTCCACAGTGGTAAAAACAAGCGATTGGCAAACCGGAGGACTAACTGAAAGTGACGAAAGGGTCAGTAGATCTCATTACCGGTATGAAGTAACAAAATCGACGAGAGTAAATGTTTACCATATTCTGGACCAATTCCTTTCCTAGATAGTGATCGATACGGTATATTTGAGATTCGGTAAACAGCTCTCCGATCTGAGAACTCAGCTGCTCTGCAGATTCCAAGTCCTTGCCGAATGGCTTCTCAACAACGATTCGAGTCCATCCACCGAGGTCGGCTGGAAAGATTACAAGCTAAGCTCAGAGAAAATATCTCGCGAAACCCGAAACCTAACTTGTCGACGAAAAGAACTCACATTTGTTCATGCAACATGTCTTGATCATCTTGCAGACAGAAGGGTAAACCGAGGGAGGAAGCGCAAGGTAAAACAACCTCCTGGAAGACCCTTCGGAACTATTTCTCGAGATTTCGTGCTCCGAAATTGCCTTGTCTAATCTCCGGAATCCCTCCTCGGAATCATAAGACCCGTTCACGTACTTTATCTACAGCACAGACCCGATACGATGACGGAGTCATGGAGATGGATTCATGCAAATGGATATGCCTTCGAAAGGGGGAGGGACTAACCAGCTGAAGAAACTCTGACAAAGCTTCTGCTTGGTCTGATGCATTCTTTTCATCAACAAGGTATCTGCATAAATTGCATCAGGTAAAACTCAGGATCAAAACCAAACAGTTAACGAAATTCTGCTCGATAATTCGAACGAAACTAGAGACAGATGATCTTACTCACGAATCCGAGATCTCAAGTCTTGATCAGAAATCTTAGTTCTAGCATAACCAAAGATGTAAACTTCATCCTGTCTGAGAAACCCCTGCTCAAGAAACCGGAAAAAGGTAACTAAGATCCAACAATGGACGATCCAGAAATGAAACCCTAATCACGTAAAGTATTAAGACCTGGAGATATAAGTGGAAAAGCGCGGGGAAAGTCTTCTTCTTGGCAAGATCACCCGAGGCACCAAGCACAATGATTGAGAGGCAACCAGTTTCTGGGACATCATCGTATTCTCGTACGAACGAATCATTCCTGAAACTGGATCTTTTCTGGATATGCCACTGACCAGATTCCATCTTCCACGAGATTCACCTCCAAAAGCTAACACACACAACAACCAAGCAAGCTGCGGGAAATGAACGAGAATAAGAACTTCCAAAATGAATGAAAATTTTTTCAGGTGGCGTAGATTCTGCAGTGGAATCGAATGCTACGAGAGATTAATCATAAATCATAAGCCAAAGCAACCCCCATGAATCATTTCATCGCAAATTGACAAAGTTAGAATCATAATGCACGATTTAATCCAAATAGGGAGCAGAAATCCAAAATCCGAGCAGAATCTAGTTAACAGAGACGGAGAAACACCAAAATCAGACAGGGAAACGACGAGACTCCGTTGCATGGGCCGAAATTCGCGAGGAAATCAAAAGAAACTGATCAGATATCAAAACCCAGCTTAATTCTCGAACCGAACGTTCAAAAAACACGACCAGAGAGAAAGCAACCTGAAAGCACGAGCTCGGACTCCGGCGAGAACGATGATTCTGGGAAAACGATAGAAACGGCGCGAGAATCAGCTTGGGAGAGACGGAGAACGAGAGAGAGAGAGAGGGAGGTATTTATGGCGGAATGAGAGGCGAACTAATATGGTTGGCGCTTTCGTCAAACGTTGACTCCTCTTTCTCCTTTGGCATTCTCTCAGTCGCTTCACGCCTCCTCTCCTGTAACAGACAACGCATACTTCCTTCGTAATAAACATATTATATACGAAATTGCCGATTTTTTTTTAAAAAATTTCGATAAAAAAAATATTTTTCTTATTCAGAGCAGCCGAAAAAAATACTGTAAAATTACAATTTATTTTCATTTGTAGAAAATATGAGAAAAATAATACGTTTTCAAAAATAATTAGGTAGATGTTTCATTGAGATTATCTAGAGGATTGTCATGATTAATATTTTAAATATTGATGCAAACGTTGAATATCGGTTCACGTGGCATAAAAAAAAGTTGAAATTTGGTTCATCATTTATATGATCAAAATAAAACGAGTATATTAAACTAAGTGCATGTGAATATTGAAAAAAAAAAAGAAGATAAACTATGCATGAGAGAAAAAAAATACTCTATATCTTTATATAAGGTTATGAAATGATTGTTTATTGGGCAATGTTTTTGTTTCGATATAGAAATTTTTATTTTAAAATATTTAATACCATAATTAGGGCGTCTTCTATAAATTTGCAGAATTCACACCTCAAAGGGGAGTGGATACGAGAACACAAATGGATATATGCACAAATCAAAAGTTAAAAACAACAAAACCATTAGAAACAAATAAAAATCAATTCTTTAATTAGGATTATAATGATACGTAGTATTTAGGACAACATTTTAATTAAATTTAATCATACATCCATATAAACAGGTTGGTGGTTGGGGACGTTGACAACTTGAACGTCGACCATAAGATCTAACGCCGATGTTACATGTCTTCTAGAAATATTATTGTATGTAATAATAAAAGAGATACAAGTTCATCCGCCCATCTTTTCTTCTGCAACACGACCTTTTTTGCATCAAGAAACGGAACACGATCTTGAAATTGGGTAAACGCACCAATATACACAGAATAAAAAAAAACAAGAAAAAATGCATATAAAATGAAGTAGAATGTATTTAAAATACAGATTTATATTATTTATTTATATAAAATATAAGAGAACAATAATGGCGAGGGAGGGTGGTTGAGACCATCCACCACGACGGTCCGAGAAAGAGTCCGTGTAATTGTGAATGGGAAATCTAAGGAACATGGTTTGGTGTTCTGGTGCGCGATTTGACGTTGCAGGTTCACATGAATGAAAATCACACTACTACAGCACTGGGACCACTTCTCCAACCATATGATGCCACGTGTCACTCCAAAAAAGTCAAATCTTGAGTTGAGATACAAGGATTTGTTTAATTTGGTCGAGTTTTTTTTTTTTCTTTCAAAATATTATTTTGATTTCGTTGTAGTGTTGTTTAGATTCGATTTTTTAGTCTAAAAAGTTACTTTTTTGACTTCATAAGATTCTGTTATTTTTGTTTTAGGATACAGTTCATGTATATCTGATTTTGAAATTCAGATAAATTCTAATAACATAGATACGGACTAATGGACCGAACCGTGGGTTATAATTATATGAAACCAATATTCTACGTACGGCCCAACAAAAATACAAAAACTAAAAAGGAGTACAGATTTCAAAACTCATATGCCCACAAAATGGACATGGCTTTAAGATGGGCCTTTCGAAAGATAAACACTGAAATGGATGGGCCCACATCATAAACGACAAGACACACGTGTCTACGTACGTATAGAGTTACAGATAAAACATTTCCAAATTCCATTTTTGAGAAATATCGTTTGGTTTTTTCTTCTGCGGTTCTTTTTCAATCTGTGTTTCTGGTTAAACCTAGAAGAACATTGAAATTTATGTGATAGGGTATTTTTGTCAATCTACATCTATATTTCTAGAAATACATCATACGACATACGCCATCATGTTTTATTAACAATAGGGATTAGAGTCTGATATTTGAATGCAAACGCAATAATGGATTTTATATTTTATTAGGATAAATTATAGGGAAAATGGCAAAAACCCACACAGATTATACCAAATGTGTAAAATTAGTACATCAATTTTTAATTTGACAAAATCCTCCATCCGATTTCAAATTTTCCCAATTTCCAGCATCGATTGTTTTGGAAATTTCCAATTAGCACCGTAAAGGGAATTGACCCTGCCACATCAGCACTGCATGTTGATGTGTCACCACTCATCGAAAAATATGCCACGTAGGATGACACGTTACCTGCCACGTCACCAGTTCGGTTATTGTAATCGGTTCATTTAATTTAACCGGTTAAGTGGAAACCGATTTTTTTTTAAAAAAAAAGAGGAAACCCTAAATCAGAAAAGAGGAAACCCTCTCTCCTCTCCTCTCTGCTTCTCTCTCCTCCTCTGGTGCTGGAAAACTTCTCCTGTGAGACGAGCTCCGGCGTAGCTCTGACGCTTCTCTCTCCGCCGCAGGTGATGGTGGGAATGGCGGAGTATATTGCGGCCGTAGCCGTGAGGGAAGAGGATTCATCTCAGTCGTTGGATCCCGGAGGCTCGCAAGATTGCTGGAAGAATCAGGACCCTGAGTCTGTGGCTAAGTTCTTGGCTTACTGCGACGGCCTGAGCGAGGGTTCATCGGACGGCTGAACCAGAGGACGAGACATCATCGGTGGGATGATCGGACGGTGGATATGGCGTTTGGGAATAGAACAGCTGAGAGCGCGTGCGACAAGATGGTGTGTCGGATAAATACATGATGATTGATCCTAAGCTGGCGTGGAACATCGTCACATGCTTTGACGACAATGTTTTTTATTCTTTTATTTGATGTTGTGATTTGTTTTTTCGAATTATTGGATGACAAATTGGTCAGAACCACGTATTTTTCGGGTCGAAACAAAAATATATTAACCTAACAATAGTTTTTCGGAGCTGTTCTCACCGGAGGAGTTTTCCAGCAATGGAGGAGGAGAGAGAGCGGAGAGGAGAAGAGAGAGGATGTGATGTCGATTTCTGATTTAGAGTTTCGATAAATCCTTTTTTTTAAAAAAAAAATCAGTTTCCACTTAACCGGTTAAATTAAATGAACCGATTTCAATAACCGAATTGGTGACGTGCAACATATTTTTTGAAGAGTGATGACACATCAGCATGCAACGCTGACGTGGCAGGGTCAATTCCCTTTTCGATGGTAATTGGAAATTTTCAAAACAATCGATGCTGGAAATTGGGAAAATTTGAAATCGGGTGGGAGATTTTGTCAAATTAAAAATTGATGTACTAATTTTACACATTTGGTATAATCTGTGTGGGTTTTTGCCATTTTCCCTAAATTATATAATATCAAACAATCTCTATAGGATTATACAATAAAAGCTTATATAAAGAAATCGGACAATAACATGATCTTAAACAATGAGAACTTTAACATATTTTTCATTTAATAAACGGAAAAAAGGAATTAAAATGTTGTCTTCAAACAGTTGATGCATTGCATCCTCTTCCCACCTGAGATTCTCTCTCTCTCTCCCGACGCCTGTCTTTCTTCACCTCTGCGATTCAAGCAATCTCCGTCGGAGAGAAGCCCTAATCCGATGCAATTCCCTCCTTGATCTCCATCAATGGTTTCGTAATCTTTGCAACAGCCTCGCTGGGGCTTCCGATTCGAGTTCTCCGAAAATGCCGAGCGTGGCGGTGAAGCTCTACAGTGTCTTCTTCAAGTTCCTGTTGAAGCACCGTTTGCAGAACCGGATCCAATCCGCCGCCGGCGAAGACTCCTCGTCTGATCCGTTCGGCGTCACGACCCGACCTGATGAAACCGTCGCCGCTCCGAATCCGTCCTTCACCGATGGCGTCGCCACTAAGGACATTCACATCGATCCCTTAACTTCTCTCTCCGTACGGATCTTCTTACCGGAATCCGCTCTCGCTCCCCCGGAGCCGGATTCCTCCGGGAAGTCGCAAAAGTACCGCCCTAATCATCATCGCCACCTCGCCGGATCAGATCTTCTCGCCAGAAGAAACAGCTACGGCTCGCCGCACATTTCGTCCTCTGCGAAAGAGGAATCGAGAAGGAACAGTTACGATTGCACCACCGACGAGGCTCTTGGCGCGAGATCCTCCGACGTGTACAGAGGATACTCGCCGTCGGCGGCGGGGAACTCCCGGAGACTTCCCGTGATGTTGCAATTTCACGGCGGTGGATGGGTGAGTGGGAGCAACGACTCCGTGGCAAATGATTTCTTCTGCAGAAGAATGGCGAAGCTCTGCGACGTCATTGTTTTGGCCATCGGGTATCGGCTTGCGCCGGAGAACCGGTACCCGGCGGCATACGAGGACGGGCTCAAGGTGTTGAACTGGCTTGGGAAACAGGCGAATTTGGCGGAGTGTAACAAGTCGATTGGAAATTCTCGGCGACTCGGAACGGAGGTGAAGAAAGTGGAGGCTCACAAGCATATAGTGGATGCTTTCGGTGCATCAATGGTGGAGCCTTGGCTTGCAGCTCATGGCGATCCTTCGAGGTATGCAACTATGTCCGATCATTTGCACTGCGTAAGAATTTCTGGGGGACGCGATTCTTGTTTAGCAAATAGTTTAGTCTGCATCGCTTGCTTGTGGTATGAGGATGGTTGACATACAAAAGGGATGATGAAGTGATTCGAGGATTAATATTTGAAGCATCTGTATTGTGTCTGTGTTATTGTGCAAGTGCATGTAGGTTTTCTAGCTGAAAATCCGATCTTTAGCCTTGATTCGTTTACTGAGTGTGTCTTTCTGTTGTTTCCTCTGTGGTCCGCCGATGGTAGGTTTAGAATTGGATCAATGTCGGTCTTTCTTTCTTGTTTAGTTCTCGTAGCTTGCATGTGGAAATGCTTAGCCTTTGGTTATGATTGTTGTTTGTTCCGTTTCCTTGGATGTCTGCAACTCTCGATGCTAATTCATTATAGCTTCTTTCGTCTCTTGACAGTTGACAAGCCTGTGTAGGTTTTATCATGTCTATAAACTTAATATGTGAAAATTGTCACAGAAATTGCCTTCTTCGGGGTCTGTTGTTGTGATTCTTATACATTTTGTCTATTGACGTAAAGGATGACATTGTACTGCTAGTCATTGATTTCTGGTCTTGTTGGGCTGAACACAACATTAAGAATAATTCCGACCCATTTCTTCCAGGAATCTCCTAAGACCAAGTAGATAGACTTAGCATGTCTATGATTCAGATCATGAAATATATGCTTCATATGTCAAATACAGACGTCTCTCCAGCTTCTTGGGATTGTTCCCTTCGTGTCCTTCAATTCTAGCGCATGCTGGGTAGGAAAGTAGAGACCAGATCACCTGGAATAACTCTTATCCTTTTGACCTCTAAGAACTTCGAATGATTTAAGGGATCAGATATTAGCAGAACATGTTTAGTAATATTTTCTTTTTACACATCAGTTGTTTGAAATATGTGCTTCTATAGTACGCTTAGAACATTTATCAGCTTTAAATATATTGCTTTCATGTGTTTCAAAGGACCAACCCATTTCGTATCCCCATCTAGTGGGGTTGATGGAGAAGGGAATATATTAGGCCACCTTACCCCTACATTTTTTATGTAGAGAGGTGGATTTGAACCCGCGACCTCAGACCCCACGGTAAATGGTTTTACCGCTAAGCCAAGTCGGCCTTTCTGCTTTCATGTGTTTCAATTGAACAATTTTTTTTGGATGAGTGTGTTATCCTTTTGGTTTCTAGGATCTTCCGAGGACAAAACAGTTGATCCCAGCTGAGTATTAGGACCAAGTATACCTTGATTATTGTTTTGTTTCTTGGAACAACAAACCTTTTCTTTTTCAAATCTTCGTGGTCGTTGCTTTTGCACGTGGTTCAAGTGACATCACGTTCACTGACCTCTTCTGTCATTTGTCTTGTTTGAACTCACTCTCAGATGTGTGCTTCTCGGGGTGAGTTGTGGTGCCAACATAGCGGATTATGTAGCGCGCAAAGCTGTTGAAGCAGGCCGGCGTCTAGACCCTGTTAAGGTCGTGGCTCAAGTTCTGATGTACCCGTTCTTCATCGGGAGTGTCCCAACCCGATCTGAGATCAAACTCGCAAATTCCTACTTCTACGACAAACCCATGTGCATTCTAGCGTGGAAGCTCTTCTTGCCTGAGGAAGAATTCAGCCTGGACCACCCGGCCGCCAACCCACTCGTTCCTAATCGAGGCCCACCGCTCAAACTGATGCCACCAACCCTAACCATAGTTGCGGAGCACGACTGGATGAGGGACCGGGCCATCGCCTACTCCGAGGAGCTGAGGAAGGTAAATGTAGACGCTCCTGTGTTAGAGTACAAAGACGGGGTTCATGAATTTGCCACTCTGGACATTCTTCTGAGAACGCCACAGGCTCAAGCCTGTGCAGAAGACATCGCCATCTGGGTCAAGAAGTACATCTCATTCCGTGGCCACGAGTTCTCGTACTAAAGCTAATCCCGCAAAGGTACAAAGGGCAAATGGCCTGACCAGAAAACCGACAAGGCACGAGAACAGAACAGAAGGGGTGGATCAGGCAAATCTGGTTTTCCGACAGGTTTCTCTTACTAGCTCCGGCAAAGGAGGAGGGCAAAAGGGGTAATCGGAAAACCGGAATTTTTCCGGCCGTTAAGGTCTTTGCTTGCCCGTTTTGTGCAGTTCTCTGTGGAAGCGGTTAATGTTGTTCTGGTGAGATGAAGTCTCTAGCCTGTTGTATCAGGAGGATTTTGATTTTCTCTCTTCTTTTCTTCTTTCTTTTTTTGTGAATTACTTGCCAAACTGTACTTTCTCCATTTATACACGGCTTATGTTTTTTTTTTTTGTAGATTTGATTCAATCTAATGGTCTCTAAAGATCCATCCACTCGATTGGTCCAAGGTTTTTGCGTTTAGGTAAAAGCGTATATGTAAATATAGAATCAGTTTAAAATTCTTAGTTGTATCTTCTTATATACCTTTTTCTGATTTTTTTTAAAATTTAAAATTTAAGATTTTTCTTTGTTTTTTTCATTTTCATGCCTTACTAAACAACCATTTTTACAGGAAAAACGGAGGGTGTCTAATTTATTTTCCATTTACAAAAAAGAAAAAGAAAAATATAACTAATGGGCTTTTAATTTATGTTTTCTCCTCCTCTTGTGTGTCCATGATCCCATTTCCACGCTAACTTCATCTTCCACTCTCCCAAAACCTTCCTTCTCCTTCTCCCACATTAAACGCTGCGTTTTGTAATCCCTTAAATTCTCCAAAACCCAATCCCTAAGACCCGTATCCCTCACCTCACAGAACCTCTCGGCCCAGTCGGGCGGTTCAACGGGTCGGGTCCCCAACCCGGGAGCTCGATCCTTCGACCCGATATTCTCTTCCTCTTGCCAATCCGCCACGTAAGTCGCCACCCTCCGACGAAACTTCTCCTTGAAAACCTCCCACACCTGGTATTTGTAGTGGTTAATTACCATCATACCCATGTCCACGTCGGCAAACTCGACGCCGTCTCGGAGGTGGAAATGGTGAACCGCGTTTATCAGCGTCGCGTTCAGCGATTCCGGCCGCACTATGCTCTTGTGCCGCTCCGGCAAAGCCATCCGACACGTGTACCCTACCGTCACTCCTCCCCGCGGCTGGTCTCTCAGACCCGATGGCCCGAAACTGTGACACGATGTCCGGAGCTCTCCGATTTCGCCGGAGGCAGAGTAGTTTCTTATGATGTCCGGTAAAGTTAACCTCGATGGTAAGTAGAAGAACTCGTCGACGTCGATGAACGCGACCCAATCGCAATCGCTGCGTGCCCGGATCGCGCAATGGGCGAATCCAGCTTCCTGGGTCTTGATCCATGGCCATAGATGCCTCGAGATGTTGTAGCCGAGCTTTTCAAGGTTCTCGATCTCGGAGATTATGTCGTCGTCGCTGTTGTTATCGTAGATGAACCACCGTTGAACGCCGATTCGGGCGTGGTACATCACCCACTCTCTTAAGAACGCGGCCGCGTTTCGCGTCATGGTGCAAGCGCACATATTAAAAGGTCTACTCTGGGTCGGATCTTTGACCCGACCCGGAAATCGATCCGGGTGGGCCGTGGAGGGAAGCAATCCACCTCCTTTGATTCTGATCGAGACTTTGACCGGTTCTTGGGTCGATCGTGGGCCGTCCAATACACTGAGGGGCGTTCTGCACCGTACGATCTCCTGGGCCGCCGAGATGAGCTCAGATCTAAGCAACTGATTGGGCTTCGTGAAATCCCAGCCGTACACGCACTCGTACCTTGACACGTCAGCGACTTTTCCTGGCCGTAGATTAAGCCCCTTCACGAAGACCACCGTGGAGTTGTCGTAGTCGATCACGGCGTCGAAAACAAGCAGGTCCCACTCATGCGTGGGTCCTGCCAGGAGGCGAACGTCCGCCGTCGATCTCGGAACGACGAGCGATACGGAGTGGCCACGTGGCGTTTCTGGGCACCGTACGACCTGGCCACCGAGACCATCGTTTTCCACCGCGGAGGGAGGTTTCTTCAGCTGGGATGAATCGGCGGCGGCGGAGAAAACGCAGAGCAGGTCCTCTTTGGAAAATAACCGAGCGGATGGAGGGTATTTTAGGAAAACCAGTGTTTGGTCGGGAAGCTTAACCGCTTCACGGATTGAGACCACCGTCGCCGGCGCGTTAGAGTTGCCCGAAATCACCCGCGACGCCGGTGAACGCAACGCCGACCGTACAACCGGATGGAACTTTCCTGATGGACGAACAAATAAATAAAAAAAAATTAACAACGGAAGTTTCGAATTTTTTTTCTCGAAATAACCGTCAGGGTTTAAGGGAAGAAAATGGAAATTTTACAGTTACGGTTACCTCTGAAGAAGAAGGAGCCAGAGAAGACGACGAATGAGATGATGAACAGAACGACGCACCAGAAGAACCTGCTCCATGAAACGACGTCGCCTCCGCCACCGCGCTTCCGACGGTTCTTCATCTCCAACGCCGGCGAAGGCGACACGAGGGGGGGAAAAGGAGAAAACCAGAAGTGGTTTTCCGGGCAAAACAGCACGGGATTAGGCGAGACCAAAGGTTTCTTCTTCGACGGGGGATTAACTCGACGATCCGAAGAAGTTTAGAATATCTAATTATACCTTTTTTTTATTTGGGTTTGTGGTATTATTCTCTTATCTAATTTATCATTTTTGTTTTTTAGCAAAAAGAAAATTGGGATCAACCTTTCTTTTTGGGTTTAGGTCTCTTGGGTGCTCGAAACCTCTCAAGGAAAATCGCGAACTTAGAGGAACGAGAAAAAGACGGCTGCATCATCAAACCACCCATCCGGCCGGTTATATATTTGTGTGCGTATATATATTTAAATATTCTTTATATGATATATTCTGAAGAATATAGATTTTTTATCTTATTAATATAGTTGAATCTAAAATTTTCATTTCATGGAATATTAATTTTAGAAAAAAAAATCGATTTATTTACTGTGGTATGTATATTTTTTTTTCTAAAATATAGAAATTTTCTAAAAAAGAAACGATCAGAATATATAATTTTTATAAAAAAAAAGAAACTAAATATTTTAAATTTTCGATCCGAAACGCTTGGACCTTTTGATTACATTTGAATCTTTCCATAATTAATAAATACGAAAGTTTTGTATTCGAGTATTTAAACGCCCAATATTTATATCCATTAATACGGTATTTCACATTCATAAGTGTTTTTTTAAAGTTATAAGTGAAACAGACATAGTTTATACTATTTTACACTCTAAATACAAAGAAAACAACAGAATGCTGTGTTGTAAACATGGAGATTGTTTTCTGTGCTTATCTTTCTTGAGTTCTATGAAAGATTTGGACGTGTGAAAATATTCTAATGTACAAAATTAACTCTCATATCATTCCAAGTATAATAAATGTCTATTGAATACAACAATAAACATGCTAAGAGATTTTAATTAATAGAATATTAAATTTTGGAAAATATAAATTTATTATGGAGTATATATGTGCGTGTGAAAGCGGAGAAAAATAAAGAAGAAGAAAGATTCGGATGCCTTGCGTGTCTATTTCAATCAATCCTAATTCTTGAGTAAGTGCTTTAAGTAACTTCAATTTTGCTTTTCGCTCAAAGCCATGATCCGAGCATTGTCCTGTCGTTGACTAGAGTGGACCGGCACCCAGACTTTAGTGGGACCCACTATGAGATTTGGCTCTTCCACGTCATCCCACGTGTTCGCTACGTCGTCGTTTCAGTCATCGAGAAGAAACATATCTGTACAAAAGCCCAGCCCAAAACATTTCGAGTTTGTCAGGCTCGAAATCGCGATCGTCCTCGTCGTTGTCGTCTTCTTCGCCCGGTGGTTACCGGAGAAGAAATGTGGGCGATTCAGAGGACAATTTGCAGGAGAATCCATGGAATAGTTGATGTTACTGTTCCAAAACTCTCAAGCTTCTCTGTAGTGTCGCCCAAGAACGTAAGTTTCCTTTTTATTTGTGGGGGGGTTTTGTCCCTTTTAACCTTTCCTCCCTTTCTCTTCTGCATCGGCTTCTCATGCTTCAGTTTTCTGCAATTCGTTGTTTTGTTGGCTTATTTGTTGGATTAGTTATATAATTGGTCGTATTTCGTGACGAATTAGCTAACAAACTGATAGATTTTATCGACTCCCATTTTGTTCGCATCCTTTTTTCTGTATTCTGAAATCGAGGAATCCAATTTTTGTCCAGCTTTCCTGTTCGGCGTTTATTCAAGTGTTGGATTATGGGGTTTCTTTATCTGCTGCTCCAATATATTGATTTGATTGTGTTGATTCTGTGTAGATAGATTTTAGTATTTACTGAAGCGCATGATGATTTGTGCTTAGAGCTATAAAGCTAAGTTACATATCTGCAAAAACTAATACAGATTTCTGAATCCCAACAAGAACCCATGTTTTTCTTTTGCGGTGATTTTTGGGATATCGTTGGAATCTGATGTGTTGAGTCTTTTGTTTAAAGGTGGAGGTGGAGTATGCAGATGGGAGCAAGTTCATTTTTTCTGCTGAGTTTCTGAGGATCCACAGTCCAGCTGCTGACGGCAAGGTCAGATCAATTGGAGGCGAGAAGGTATTTATCTTTTCATGATTCCTGTGTCCAATGACTAGACTGGTTTCGCAATGTTATGTCCCACGAGTGCGGACTCTCTGGAATTTATGTACATTTTTCGCAATAATGACGGGTAAGCGCTAGTAGGCATAGTTCGGTAACATAATTTCGGAGAAGTTAGAAAATGAGATAGCTTGAAGAGGTCCATTCCAGAGCTTGTTTACTGCAGTGTGGGAACTCATTTACAGTGTTCAGTTGATATTATGACTACTAGCTGGGCCGATTTTTTTGATGAAAATGCCATATTTTCTAATGCAAGGATGTGATTTCTGCAGATCAGGCTGCACTAACATTGAGTGACAAGCTTTTGTTTCTTGACCAACTGACCTATGATGCTAACGTGTTGTTCGTATGACTTACTTAAGCGTTGCTAGACGCGTACTGGGAAAAAAATGCCGTCTTGAAAGAATAAGAACTACAAGGATGTAACTTTTGGGGATGAGGAGGATATATTACAGTATTGAGTCTTGTTGTTTTCTTGGGCTTTTTGCATATTTCATCAACTAAGCAAATATCACGAGTACTTGTTTGTTGTTCTTCTGGCCAGTTACATTCGGGTGATGTCATTTCTTCACTTGTAGTTAGTAGTTACACACATTGTTTCTTAATCAGGTGATAGCTGGACGGCGATATGTGGGCATCATGTCTGCAGAGCCAGTGGGAAACTATGGGGTAAGGTACTTACAAATTCCACGAGATAGTAGTGCCGTGCATGCCTAGGATGTGGTATTTCCCGTCTTCTCGTTCATTCGTAACTTTTGATTGGAGGCTAATTTTTGTGGTTCAGGTTAGTTTTCGATGATCTGCACAGGACGGGGATATACCCGTGGGATTACTTCCACGAGCTCGGGAGCAACAAGTTTGCCCTCATGAGAAACTACATAAAGACGCTGAAAAAACACGGTCTGATCCGTGATCCACCTCCAAGAAGAAGATGATTCTGATATTTTCCAGACAAAACAGAGACTGAAAGCTAAATTCTGCCCTGCTTTGGTTGGTTCCTTTGATCCTTGGAAGCTTTTTTTTAATTTTTATGTGCACTACTTGTCTGTAACCTTGTCGAGTATCAGTTAAATAAAAATTGTCTGAAAGTTTTAGGCTTCCTCTCTCTCTCTCAACCTTCCGGGGGCTTTGTAATTTCATGTTCAGTGAAGAAGTAGGAGCCACTTTTCTTTAATGTTTCACGGATTACATATCAATAATCTTCATATCTTCACCCAAACGCCATCCTTCTTCTCCAGTTTCAATACCCACATGACCAAATCTCGATACCCACGTCACAAATTCTCATCCCATCATCGTTATTACCAACCATCATCCCCATGATCTTAGCTTCAATTCCCCTTTTGCCTTGACCTTGGCCTTGGTCGGTTGCAAGCATGCAAATGTTTTTATAAAGACAATACTCAGCAAAGCATAGAAGAGTAAGTACTATGTAGGGGGGGATATTACCAGGTTTTATTGCTTAGCTGCAAGAAATTTTCAGCAAAGTACACCAACAGAACACATCTCTATGCGGAGGAAAATGCAAACGTTTGGGCGCTAATGACCGCAACAGCAGCAATACAAGAATGGATGAGATTGCAACTCCTTACAGATTATTAGCTTGAAGCATTGCGAATGGTGGTGAGTTCCCAACATGAATTCAAGACAGTTGAAGTTGCTTGATGTGTGCGATCTGCTTGCCTGGGTTCAATCCCTTTGGACAGGCACGGGCACAGTTCAATATAGTATGGCAACGGTACAGCTTGAACTCGTCGTTGATAGCATCCAGTCTTTCCTTAGTGTACTCATCACGGCTGTCGCTTATCCACCTGCATACAATGAAAGATAAACAAATTACTACTACACACTGAAAGGTTAGAACTTTTTGTAAAAACTTTATATTGATGGTTTTCGATAACTTTATGAAAACTCACCAAAAACTGGATACGGTTTTTGCATAATTCACACAATTCGAAATTAATATACATATTGAATAAGAATTATACCTGAATCCATTTTGCAGCGGAATAACTTTGAAGAACAGGTCGGTAAATCGGTTTTTCTCTCCTTTCCCCCTTACTTTGATAATTTTTCTGATGGATGAAAAATGTGAATCAAGATCCTATATTTATAGGGTAAGGAAAGATGGTTTACCATGAACACCAATGGACATTCAAACTTAATTAGCTCATATCCATCAATGAGCTCAAACTAATATGAAGTCCAAAACCCAAAATTCCATGGGTCAATTTTATATTTCCAACACTTTTAACTGATGTTAATGATGCCTTATTTCACATTCTTTAGCTGCCCATTCAAAATCATGAAACTAGTTGGTTTTGAAAAAGGGATGGGGGGGTAAGTTTTGAACGTTCCTTCACACTGAAGGGACAAAACAAAAGTAAACAAGAACAAAAGCAGAACCCATCAACATCTTTTAAGCCAGTGAGATACAATGCCTCATAAAGACCATTGCTCTGTCTGGACCAGAAATCCAGCATCTTTGCGACAATAATCCATATGGAAAACCCTATTATTCCAGTGAATAAGTGAACTTATATAAACAAAATCCTTAGTTCTCGAGCAAAGCCCACCATTTCTAGTCCTACAACTTGCAAACCGATCCTTGTCTATCACTCCTAGACAAATATTTGGCATATTAGCCAACTTTCTTTGTTTTCCACAATCAATTCACTAATCAATCAGAGGTCATATAAATCAGCCAAGGCTCTCAAGCAAATGATTAGCACGGGAACTCGAGTCATAAAGAAACCCTTTTTACGCAATCCATGAACAGACCTATTGGCGTGAAGTAAAGCGGCGGGGCCGAGGTAGGACTCAGGATTCCACCAGTAGCTAGGGCAGGATGTGCTGCAGCAAGCGCACAGAATACACTCATACATCCCGTCAAGCTTAGCCCTGTCCTTCTTGCTCTGCAAAATCTCCTTCCCAGGAACCTCCGGCGGGCTCTTCCTCTTCAACCACGGTTCGATACTCTTGTACTGGTTGTAGAAGTTCGTCATATCCACAACCAGATCCTTAATCACGAACATATGCGGCAACGGCGTGATGGTCGTCGGCGACGATCCAGATTCAATCTTCGTGAGGCACGCGAGACCGTTGCATCCGTCGATGTTCATCGCGCACGAACCGCAGATCCCTTCCCGGCACGAGCGACGGAAAGTGATCGATGGATCGATCTCGTTCTTAATCTTAATCAGCGCATCGAGAACCATCGGGCCACACTCCTTGAGATCGATCTGATAATCCTCAAGCTGAGGCTTCGAGGGATTATCCGGGTTCCATCGGTAGATCTGGAAAGTCTTCATCTTAGATCCTCCTCCGCCGGTCGCGGCCTTCGGTTCAACCTTTTGCGCCTCCGTTTCCGACGCCATCCACCGCGACTGAATCAGACGCGCCGCCGCGGATAACCTCGC